ATACCTGAGGGCGTACCGAGGAGCCAGTTTGTGATAAGGAACAGGAAGGTTTAGTTAAAAGCAAAAATTAAAACCAAAGGTGGTCTTACAATTATTAATTTTGTTTGCCAAAAAATAGCCGTTAGCTTTTAATTTTTTATTATTATGGCATTCTTAAAAAGCAAACTTATAATTTTGATAATCATTTGAACCGGAAAATTCCGAAGAGATCCGATCAAATAACAGAAAGAACCAAGAACTCATAATGAACCACTAGATCTTGAAAACAAAGAGCAAAGATCCAAAAACAAGTCCTGAAAAGCCTCGTAGGTCAATAATTTTTTAAAGGAAAGGTGTTGCCTCACAGGTGCTGCCATACTAATTTGATTTAAATCCGATCATTTTATCATGAAGAAATTAAGGATAATCATAAATTTTTATATGAGAATTGAAGTCGGTTTTGTTTTTTGGTTAAAAAAAAATCCTTGTTTTTTTTCAAATCATTTTGAAAATTCTTATAGAAATTACTTTACCCCCGCGAGCAACTTTTCAAATAGTGACGTACACTGCACGAATATTATTAGCTCCAACGGTTAGTAAACCTACTATTCTTTCCCTTTCATGAATCATCGAAACATACGATTTTTACCAAACCAATATTTTGTCTGCAAATCGGTGTAAATATTTTTCCTAAGAAGATTGTAAAACACCTGACACATCCGAAAAACAAAGTAACTGTCATTTTTGTAGATAATTGCACCCCAACACACACACCCCCGCCAATGTCATTTGTTCCTTTGCCGAGATACTAGTACAAGTAAAGACGACACCACTTCCAAATTATATCATCTATCTCCATTCTTATCGGCGCGTCTTTATTTGGCAAACATTTTATCTGCATACTCGTGCAATCTTATTTATCTCCAAACTGAGGCGTATGCGACGATTGCGTCAAAGGAATTGGCGTTACTAACGCACGAAAATGTTGTAAATATGTAAATAAGTGTAAGTATACGTAGGTATGTACATATGTATGTGTTTACTAACATATGCCGTCTTCTGCTCACTGCATAGCAGCAGCTGCAGCATTGCCCTCCTCTCTTGGCGCCTTTCAAATTCGCCACCCACTCACGCACACACACTTTGCTACTCGTCAGCGATACCAGCCAGCACACCAAATGCCGGCAAGCGGCCGGTATAAATTGTTTATGTGCAGTGTGTTCAGTGAGGAGCTTTGAAAAGCTTTCATGCGCTATAAACTATGACGGAGAGTGACCAGATTAAATGAAATTTACAAAAATTAATTCTTTGTAGAAAAACGCACAAATAAATAAGAAAATGGAACCACTGCTGCTATTGGTATTTTATCAGTTTTTTTTTTTTTTTATTGTACCTTTTACGCAATGTCTAGTTAACACTAATCTGGGGATTAAATTAAGGGACAACGTTAACCAGACATTGAGAAAATGGTCCTTAGTGTAGTCAATCTGCCATTATCGCACCGAAAAATCTAACGACTCTAGAAAAAATACTAATTGGTTAGATTTAGGTTAATGAAAAACTAGCAAATTCTGTCCAACGGAAAGATCTCTGACTGTGTCAAGTCAATTCTGAAAATCGCTACGCTTAATTTTCGTTGCCGAAAAAAAGCAGTGGGGCGTAAAACTATACAGCATGGACAAATAATATCTGCAATGTGTTATAAACCTAATCTGGCAGTATGAGGGGCATGTAACTAGATTTTACCTGTTGTTAGGCGCGCCTGCTATTCGTTTGGAGATTTTATCGATAGCGAAAGTTGGAATCTAGCTAGAGATCTACATACATACTAGAGTGGTTCATAAAAACACTATTTTTGGAAATTCATAAACGCTACATCAGAATATTGTTATTTGTGATAAAAAAAGAGACACGTATTTTTTTATTTTGAAAAAAAAGTTTTCTTAGAGGTCGCGCTGGTCGGTTTTTTATAAAAACGCTGATGTTCTCAATTTTTTTATTTTCTTGACATGTTAAAATGCAGCTAAAAATGTGGTTTTTACATATAATTGCTCTGGTATTATTGGGGAACTTTTCCGAAATTCAAAACGGCGGATCCAAAATGGCGGTCCATTTAAAAAAAAAATGATTGGATTTGTTCGAAACACGGCACTCGAGAGTTTTTGTGGTCGCCGATTACGAATCTGAAGTCAAATTAAAAAAAAAAAGTACTAAAATTAAAACGTTGATACTGAACGTTTTAAACATTGTCAAGGGTTAAAACATGTTTCCAATGGGTTTCTGGGGTTTCTGATTGCGAATCTGATGTCAGCTTTTCAAAATTCAAAATGGCGGTTAAGAGTTTCAAACAAATCCAATTTTTTTTTTTTTAAGTTGAGCAACATTTTGGATCCACCATTTTGAATTTTGAAAATCTGACATCAGATTCGTAATCAGCAACTCCACAAATGACCTGATAGGGTTGCCACCTCTTCAGGAGTACAACATTAATTTACTTTGTATTTAAATTAAATATTTCATTTGGGAATCAAATCAACTAGGGGTTAAAGAAAGCTTAATTTTAAAAACAGTTTTGAAGAGGTTTGGCCACCTGCTCGGAAATTCAAAATCAATCTAGTTAACAAGTAAAATGAAAAATTGCAATATGGCTGTCAAGGGAGAGATGTTTAATTAAGCTTTATTTCTATGATACCTTTGAAGGGGTTTCCACCAGTTTAGAAGTTCTAATTGCTAGTGTCTAAGAAAAAAAAATTAAAGGAATGATCCATAATTCTGTAGCATTAGGTACAACAGATTGAAGTGCAGCTCAACATTTTCCAGCATTACAATAACCGGGTATCATACTGACGGGGCCAGAAGCAAACGCTAGTAAATTCATAAAAAAAAAAATCTTATTTCAGATACATTACGACTGGTTTAGGTACAGTTGCTGTGCCTGTACGTTAATATATTTTCCAAAATCAACACTCACTATGTATCAATGCGAGTATATATGCTAGGAATTTAGAAAATTATTTTTCGTAAAATTCTTGTTTGTATTATGTATGAAAAATCAATTATTGAGGTGAATGTACTAAAAATACACCCACAAACGCACCTATATTTATATGTACATATGTGCATAAATAATCATATATAGAATATAACTAGGTAAGTACTAGCGATGTCAATCTCGGGATCCTGGTTTTGTAAAGTCCCGAAAATTAATGCAAGCTAATCCCGGGATCCCGAAAAATGCGGAAATATCGAATTGATTGTAAGAACTTGTTTTTGAAGTAGGATTTGTTGTAAAATGCCGTTTTTACTGAGAGTAGAATAAACATGTTTAAAGAAATGGTTTTTGTATATTTTTGTTTAATGGTTTTTTTTTATTAATCAATACTTTCACAAGTACCTGGTATTTACCTTGTTTTTTGTGATGTATACGTTCCTCAATCACATCGTTTTTAAATGCAATTTAAAAAATGTTTTACTTTAAAATTTATCTAATTTAATTAATATCGCTAGCTTAGAGTGCAAAGTTGCTAAGTTTTAATTTAAAAATTGCACAGGAGAGGAAAAATCTTCTTATAGCCTTTTCTTCAAGTATTTCACAAAACTTTGAATACAAAATTTTGCCTGTTTAAAGCAAAGCAAAACTCCATACGAATCAGAGCGATTCGATCTTTATCAAAAGATATCGAACTATTTTGGCCTTAACGAATTTTCGGAGCTTTTTTTGGACTTAGCAAATTTTCCATTCACTGAATATAAACAAAAAAACAGAAAACAAGACCCTTTACGCTTTTCGAAATGATGCATTTTTAATTTATCTAGCCTCCTGTATCAAAATATGAGTTTTCATAAAAAGTGAAGTTAGCAACTTTTCACTCTAAGCTAGCGATATGTGAGTCTTACAAGCAGTTTATAGTAAATTTTAAAAAGTTTTATTTAATGGTATGTTTGATTTGAATTTTTACTCATATTCATAAAAGTTATGACTCAATGTGAATCCCGGGATTACTTAAAAACTATCGCGAAATCCCTGGATGACAATTTTCCTCATATTTTGGCATCCCTAGTAAGTACGTCTAAAGTCATTTGAAAGTCTCTGCCTTCGATTTTATCAAACAGAAGCGAATGACACAGCGCTGCTGGACTTTTCTAAGCGTGTCCTTGAATTTGAAAATATCAGAAGGGAAGCAAACAGTTAAACAAAAAAAAAACTCATTTTACTGACAATCCCATGTATGTATGTATGTATGTATGTACGTGAGCTACAGCATACATATGTAAACAATTAATCCAACTTTCTATTTTAACTAATTTGGACAACAATTTGCTGCTTTCTTACTGCGCTCAATTCAAGCGGAATTCAATTGTCTTAATCCGATTTCATACAATTTCTTACAATTGGCGCTTATTTCTTTTCTGCTACTTGCACACGTGCACGCACATATATATGTACATCCATGCTTACAATTCTTACACTTTGCCGGTCATAAACTTGACCTTCCCACCTGCGACTTGGCTACAACCTGCAAGCACCACCGGGGCGTATACGTATCCAAAATGCTGGCGTTTTTATGCACATATATAAATACATACATACGTATATACATACATACATGAATAGTTACATATACACTTTGTGTTATGCCTTAATCCCACAATTTCAATTGCGCATTGCAAATCTAATGCCAAGCCAAAAAATTGTGAGCGCACTAATTGGATCATCGCAGTGGCGGCGGCGGCGGCGGCGGCTTCCTTGCGGACCACGGAGGAGCTCCATTATAAAAGCCATAGCCCATCGATGGTGCGTACAAAGATAGTGCGACAAGTATCGGTACAACAAGCGTTCGCGCCAACGAAACAAATCGTTGCTTTTAGCTATGGAAGCGTCAAAATAAATTCTAGTTGTTTTTCAAAAAAAAAATTCAAAACCAATTTCTTCAAAAACTGTGCAACCAACACCCCCAACGCGACACCGTTGCTTAGCCGCATTCGTGTGCAGCCGAAGCCTAAAAATCAACGACTAAGCCATGGATTTGACAAATGCTTTATCGACGCTAACGCTGCCGCAGCCCGCGGGCTTCCAGTATTTACGCGATGGCCGCAACATCAGTCTGGCCGAGAGTGTACCCGCTGATATTTTCCACATGGTCGATCCCTACTGGTACAAATGGCAACCCATGGAGCAGATTTGGTTCCACATAATTGGCTTCATTATAACCATTTTGGGTGTGATGTCACTGTCGGGCAATTTCATTGTCATGTACATATTCACCTCGACGCGTTCGCTGCGCACACCATCGAATATTTTCGTGGTGAATTTGGCCTTTTCCGATTTCATGATGATGTTCACCATGTTCCCGCCAGTTGTTTTGAACGGTTTCTATGGCACTTGGATAATGGGACCGCTGCTGTGTGAGTTGTACGGTTTGGCGGGTTCGCTTTTCGGCTGCGTGTCGATTTGGTCAATGACGCTAATTGCCTACGATCGGTATTGTGTGATTGTTAAGGGTTTGTCGCGCAAGCCGCTCACCACAACGGTGGCTGTGATACGTTTGGTATTTGTGTGGTGTATTTGCGGCACATGGGCCATACTGCCGATGGTCGGCTGGAATCGTTATGTACCTGAGGGAAATATGACCGCTTGCGGCACAGACTACTTTGCTAAGGACTGGTATAATCGATCGTACATTATTGTCTACTCGTTGTGGGTGTACGCTACGCCATTGACGACCATTATCTTCTCCTATTATCACATTATGAAGGTGAGTGCGAAAAAAAACTTTAGATGATTTTCGAAATGGTGTATGGCACGCGTGACTACAGTAGGTTCTCGACTCCATCACCACTTTTCTGCCTATCCTACTTCAGGGAAAAAGTTAGACTCTCTCGTACAGACAAAGTTCTCCGCAAATTTTCTAGTTTTGTATATCCGCTCACCCTCCAAGCAAAAAGAGCCTCAGTCTTCAGTCAGGTTGCATTGTCATATAATCCTTACTAATATTTTACATATAAATGCGAAAACGAGTTGTATGTATGTATGTAACATCAATTCCGTACCCAGAGAAAATCAGATTGAAATTTGTATTGAACTTTGGGTGTTAGATGAAAGAGGCTTAAAAATTATATAGCTTGAAAAAAAAGTTTAAAAGAGTTGCCACCTGTTTGAAATGTCAAAATTAAATTAACTATTCGCAAGCTATTAGTCTGTTCCTTTGAACTTCGGACTAAAACCTGTGGAACTGTCAAACTACAATTTTACTCTCTCAAATGAGAGTAAAAGGAGAACAGATGCAGAAGTGCATAGGAACGCAAAAAGCACTATTTCCTGTAAAAACGTCAGACGGTTTGTTTACATGTCATTGGTGCTACACTGATTTGGCTGAAATATCACTAAATAATTATTAAAATCTATACATATTCAAATATTTCGTTGTTTACTTCCATTTTTTAACAAATATAAGGTTCTTTGCTTTCACCGCTTTCTGTTTTTGTTTGCACATGTAAATCAGCTGATCGTTTGACACTTTTCATGAACTTACAGGAAAAAAAACTCCGGACTAAATCCTGTAACTTCTGACTAGGAACAGTTGCTCAGTTACTCTCTCAAATGTGTTCCCACTTACAGGTTTTATGTCAATAGGAACGACTTCCTGTAAGTTCTGACTAAATCCTGTAAACCGGACTGCTATTGGAACAGACTATATGTGTAAGAGAAATTTAAATATGCGTGTCAGTTTGAATATTTATATAATTATTGAGGTGTTTTTGACAAGAGATGCCACCAGTTTAAAAATTAATTCAATTCATTTAAATGCGTTTTCACAAAAAGGGCATCAAACGAAATGGTTTCGAAGCGACGTAGCAGTAGTCTTTGGGATAGAACTTAGAAGCATCTTTACTTGGATGAGGTATTCGTGAGAGAACTACGCCTGGTACAACATTTATACAATGAGAAAACCATCAAACACATCACACATATACAGTTGAATGGCAGAACGGTGTTAGACCATTTTCAACTATTTTTAGACAACTTTAATCTTATAAAGAGAACTTCATACAAAAGCCAAAGCGAAGAAAAGACTTCCCCTTTCAAAGCCCGCATTTGAAAAATGCAGAAAAGAACTGTAAAGGCTCATCTTCAAACCCAATTGCAAGTATGAAAGTGGAGGTCTAACAAAGAAGCTGCTAGTTTAGATTTTGATGGCGCGTATGGAAAGTGGGAGACATATTTATTCCTCGTAATTTTCCTCTTTGAGTGAGTAACAGGAGGAGGTACATTCCCCAACCCACTCAACTACTTACTTTTCCAAATGAAATTTAGGAAGTTCAAGATTTCCAGTTGCGATATCTCTGGAAGACTGGCGAGGCAGATAAATTCAAGGTGTTTAAGTCGTCTCGACTGCAGGCTTGGCCTTCGACACAGAAAGAATTCGTTGGTATTCGCCATCGTTGGAGCATCGGTGCAATAACATTTTGTGCTGTGATGACGCCGCGGCGGTAATGTAGATCTGTTGTTGAGTTTCAGGGCTCTTCTTTTTCCACTATTTAACTGCGGCCATATTGACCTTGAGATCTAAACGGTGGCTTAGTATATTGGTCTACCTTTTTTCTAATAGCCACACCTTGCCATTCAGCTGTATCGTTTCCACAATTATTTTCTTGTTGCTACCTTTGTCTAGAACTTCTGCAGATCAGAGCGTCATGGATGACACTTGGTCTGATGACTGTTGTCTATACACCGCATTAACGCGCAATGAACGCTTGTCATGTGAAGAGGGTCTTAACCTTCACAATCCGCTCTTATTTGTCTTTAACGCTTAATGGTTTCCATATACACTTTTATCTTGTATATAAATATGTCATCTCTTTCTATCTTCCCACCCAACCAGGCTGTTTATGCTCACGAGAAAGCCATGCGCGATCAAGCGAAGAAAATGAATGTAGCTTCATTGCGCAACAGCGAGGCGGACAAAGGTAAATCGATCGAAATCAAATTGGCGAAGGTGGCGCTTGTAACAATATCGTTGTGGTTCCTCGCCTGGACTCCATATACCATCATCAATTATGCGGGTGTTTTCGGTTCGATGAATCTCTCACCGCTAAGCACCATTTGCGGTTCGGTGTTTGCGAAGGCGAATTCCGTTTGCAATCCAATTGTCTATGGACTCAGGTGAGTTAAATGAAGAAGAAATATTGGAACTCATATAAATTACAATTTTCTTTTATTTTGCTTCACACGCTTCAGTCATCCCAAGTACCGAGAAGTGTTACGCGAGAAGATTCCCTGCCTTGCCTGTGGCAAGGACGATGTGGCCTCCGAAGTGCGCACACAAGCGACAGCCGAGATCAGCGAATCGGCGGCTTAGGCGTGTGCGAAACGAGTGTGGAACTGCAACTGGGCAATGATCAGGACGATGCAACTACGACGACATTGTTAGACCCATGAGGACCCATGCGTATAGTTTAGTTTAGATACGCTTGGGCCTGGCATGAATAACGGATAAAATGAACAAACTAACAGCCAGACGAATTAACGAAAAAGTCTAACAACAACGAGAAAAATAACATGTGCAACGAGAATCAAATCGAAAAAAAAAGAAATTAACAAAAAAATCGCAAAAAAATGCAAGTTATGTAGAAGAGATTTTTGGCGGAGCATCAAGTGTACAAAATACTTCAAAGTTTTACCTGAAAAAAAAAACAAGAATTTAAGCTACCGATTTTTCAGCATATTTTTCTACTTAAACTTTGTACACTTCCCTCTTCGCTAACATTTCTCTTAATCTGCTAAATATTTACTCAAGTAATTCCTCTCTCTCTTCAACGTTTTATTTATTCTAGTTATTGCAATATTTATTTAAAGGAGCTGCAACTAAAAAATCTAAAAAAAAAAATGGAATCAAAATAAAACCAAGCAATTGATATAAAATCAAAAATCAATGTCTTCAATATTCTTAAAAGGCATACTATCTTTAAAGTAGCTTTTTATTGGACCGCCCCTTACTTTGAACTCATTAAATAGCAGAAAAAATATTTTCTAAATTTTTTCGCTTCTTTGAAAGCAATTGCTATTTATTCTTTATACATATAAAAAACACAACATTCCAAACAGCAAACCATTTGCGGCCAGAAAAATATTAAACATTTCAAGGAATGCATATGAATCCATGAAATTGCACTCGCATAAAATTTAAAAAAAAAAATCTAAGTGTTTTGCCTCTTTATACGGTTCTGTGATGAAAATGCGCGCTGCCAAATCGACGTCCATTATTGGTTGCTGAGAAAGTCTGCTCATCTCCATCAATGCCAGCATCCACACCAGCGCCTCTGCCCTCATCTCCACCGCCTCCGCCGCCGCCGGCACTACGATGATGCTCATCCAAGGTGTACATCGCAGCGCGTCCTTGAAGCAGTATGAAATCGATGAGACGCTTATTGCTGATGGATTTCATGACGTTCGGATCATTACGCTTGCGCAGGTAGTTGAAGCAACAGGTGCTGAAAAGATTGAAAATGGTGTTAAGGGTTTAGGACCTGGTAATTACATTGAAATTATTGTATGTATTTGAGAAAGCGCTCAGTACTGCCAATTACCGAAAATTTTTTGTGCCACACGCGCTCGTACATTCATTACCGCACGAATCGCAAGAGATTGAACGCTTACTCGGAAAAGGTGCTGTCATTTCCATATCATAGAACGGGTAATCGATCAGAGCGTTTGAGTCTGTTGAACGATAAGCGCGAGTCGTCATGGGTGTGTTGGTGAAAATAATGAAGATGCCTGTTGAGAGATATTTGTATTAGTAAAATATAAATGAAATTGAAGCCATCGAACATTATTTTAAACAGATTTCCCGAGCCGTTTAACCGAACCCAACCCCCAGGGCTCAAAGACACACACAAAAAAGGGCTTTTACGGATCAATCCAAAGCTGCAAAAACTGTTCGAACAACTGAACTGAACGGAATCGAACAAATTGTTCATCCGATTCATGTCCCTGATTTTAACACAAATATTGAGTACCACAGGGAAAGTGACTTGTAGTTTGAAAAGCTATAATTACATTTTCCTAAAACCAATTAGAATTTGATTACTAAGAGATTTTTATAAGCCTGAGTTTATTTATCGCTTCAGAGCAGTCGAAACAATGGAATTGTAAGGGCACCATAGGGAAGGGAGAAACCATAGGCATCACCTGGTACCGTATCCGACCTTTGGATTCTTGCGGACACATAGCTGATGTACCCTAAATTGAGGCGAAAAACGATATCGCCTCAAAGCTCATATCAAGCCTCGATCCATACAAATAGGTTAACTTTGCCTCTGATTGTATAAGTGGGTGTTTGTTTAAAATGATTCGGGTCTCAAGAGACAACTTGATCCTTTCGGCCGGTGATCTTCGATGATGGTATTAAAGCGAAGAAAGTGGACAAAGATATCAATAGTGTATTGATGTATGTATATATGTATGTAGTTTGAGGTTTGTGCATAGTCCGTCTGATTTAGTATGTCCATTAGATGGCTTCTTATGAGCCTAGGAGGCGGCTCAGGGTNACAAGGCGAATTAATATAAGGTGATGGCAGGAGTACAAAAACAAAAATTTACATGTATTTTGTTTTTGCTTTGGCGGCACAAACTGTCAAAACCTGTAAGAGTGTTTGTAGAAATTCAAACAAAATTGTTCAGTTTGATATCAGAAGCCGTGCGGCGAAACACATACACAAAATCAGCTGAGCTAGTAACACCACCTTATATAAATTCGCCTTGATTTCATAATTTAAATTTTAATTGTAACGTGAAATTTATTATTCAAAGTGGAAATATTTTTTTAAATAAAGCTTACATATAAAAAATATGGGAAAATGTGCTTTGTGCGCTAAAAGGTTGGAAGGGGGAAGGGGTCCTTTTTTCCAAGTACCCAGAGAGGCGGAAAGAAGGTTGGTGTGGGGCCGAGCTTGCCGTACGGAGTTTGCAGCAAAGGAGAGGATATGTGCGGATCACTTCTGGCCTTCAGATATAATAACCTGTGGGACAAGAAAGCATTTGTTGCCGGAAGCTGTTCCATATCCTCCACCGTTGCTAAATACTAGCTCCAACTTTTCGCCGGTTGTGCAGGAGAATTTTAGCTATAGTCAGATGGAGTAAATGATAGTTATTAGTTTTTAAGTTCACAGATAGGTGATTTTCTTTATACAGGGCGGATTCTGTCTTTTCAAATTCTGAAGCTCAGAGTATTAAGGATTCCGGGCTATTTTTCCAACCTAAGTAAGTGCGAAGATTGTTATTTTGATAGAAATATAAGTTTTTCTTCTTTAATTCAGCTCAAGTATCACGAACATAAACTCTCCATCGATACACAGGCTAGAGTTGAATTCACATTGCTCGGCTAAGTATATGGATTAAAAATTATAAACTAAAATGTGTTACATAGATTTTTAAATTCAATTAGCTTGTCTGTTTTTGTGGCTGAGAAAGCTGAAGTGTTTGTGGAAGATGGCGAAACACAAACCGAGTAAGTTTACATTAACAAAAGTGTGCACTGAATTTAACTCCATTATTTTTAAACATTCTTCCAGCTTTAGGATTCTGGAATCCAATATGTAGTTAGAAATTTTAGAATTAAAAAAACGGTTTTTGGATGCTCTATCGTCGTCCGCAAATGGACGTAGATCAGTACGGGTTAAAAGAAGGAAATTGAAGTTTTAACGTGAGTATCATTATTCAATTGTACGATATACCAATATATGTGCATATGTATATTATTTACCGTTGTTCAGATTAAAAAAAGAGGGATTTCACTTAATCACGTATATAGTTTCTGAGAAATTATGTAATCATTTCTGACACCTCTTGCTTTCGATGCAAACACTCTACCTACTCAGGTGTACGTGGCGTATGAGTAACACTCTTTTCTGCTCATATTTCATTTGACCAATCATTACTTTCTTAATTATCCATCGATTTTCTTCATTGGTAGTTAATTTTTTTTCTTAAGGAACAGGCTTTAACACAAGTGCAAAATATTTATACAAAAACTATTATTTTTCAAACTTTTTCCCTGTTAAAACAAANGCAAACACTCTACCTACTCAGGTGTACGTGGCGTATGAGTAACACTCTTTTCTGCTCATATTTCATTTGACCAATCATTACTTTCTTAATTATCCATCGATTTTCTTCATTGGTAGTTAAATTTTTTTCTTAAGGAACAGGCTTTAACACAAGTGCAAAATATTTATACAGAAACTATTATTTTTCAAACTTTTTCCCTGTTAAAGTTTGAATTCTTTCCCGTTTTTTCATCAAAAAAACAAAAAATCTGGAATAATTAATTAATTTCTCAGAAACTATTAGGCCTATAGAAAAGTGATGTATACACAGCTTATGGAGAATTTCATTGGCTTTGATTTGCCGTATTTCGTATTACAATTATTCAATTGTTTCGTAAGATATACATGATTAAGTGGAACCATTCTTTTTGTTAAGCTGAATAACGGTAAATTGCAAATATCTCGAAAACGTATCCCTAAAAACAAAAATGAACTCTATTGTCGGAATCGGCGAGCGATTCTACATACTAATTGGATAGCGACGTCTGGAGAAGAAAAACGAAATACAAATTTGTGATCCAGTGTTATTTACTCTATTCGCTACAACAGAAGAATGGTTTAGCAGTTGCCGCTGCTATTGTCAGAAGTTGTGGAAAAATATCGAGCATATATACGCGTAATGGAGTCTACTTGCACGCTAATAGTCTATTGCGGAAACAAGCTTCACTCCTGGGTGAGCCATTACTCAAGCAAACGATTTGTATATACCTTATAAAACACCAATGATGAGAACACAACGCAAGCTTCTAATAACCAATAACACTTCTCTTCCATTACACACAGGTGTTTTTGAAATGTTAAAAGCATTAATTGAACTCATCCTAAACATGTTGCAAGTGGAAAATGGTCTCGCGTTTTTTCGAATGCAGTCTCGTTCGATTGCTGCAAATCGCGTTCGTCACGCACATCTTTAAATGTTTACTGCTTCACTGATAGCTCGCAAACTCGATCATCGGGAAGCCAAATGATCGGTGATCAAATTCCTTAGGTCGGTGTTATGCAGACGAACTTTTGTTTGCCAAATTAAATGGCGGCTGCTTAGTTTGCTCGGAGGTGGTTATGTCGAGTTTGGCACAGGGTTGCACGTTCATTATGGTTTTCATGGCTATTGCCAACACGAAATGAGAATTTTGTGTATAGCAACAATTGTCTAAAATTTTTGTGTATGACAACGCCGAATTTGCTGCAGTTTGACCAAACAAAATTAGTTTGCTGTGAGAGTCGCCAAACTCGCTCTCTCCGAGTTTGCTGCAACAACAATTGCACGCAGTTTGCCAAACAAAA